AGAGAGGAGTATATATATATATATATATATATATATATATATACATACATATATATATTACAATACATTAACCAACATACCATCTTGGGCGTGGCGATAGAGTCTGTGCATCATGCGCCCATGTACGCGTCTGTCGTGCTCGCTCCTCAACTCGCGATCGTCTGCATCTTCATCCTCCTCCTCTTCACCGTTGCTATGGCAACGCCCGGTACTCTCGTGCACCGTCCCATTCCCATTCACGTGTCTGTTCCCGGAGCTTGCATCCAAAACTTGATCTTCAATGAAATCGGGATCTAACTCCAAATCAGCATCAAACGGCCTTTCATCGGGCTCCTCATCGGCGGCTCTGATCAAGGGCAAGGGATTACGGTTGCGTATTGACAGTTAGATAACTTGGGACAAACATGCACCTGTTCCGGCAACCTCCAGGACCGATGCGACATAGACAATCGGACCTGATCAGCCCTGCACCACCGGGTGCGTGAGCAGAGCGGGTACAGTTTCCTCAGCTAACACTTCATATCATATGAGAACATAGCAAACCCACACAGGCAAGTCAGCGTGCACAGTCGGGACACTCAGGCCATTAATAAACACGGCACAGCTTACCTGGGATACTCGTTAACAAACGCCTTGCATATCGGGTATTCCAAATCCAGCCCCGTCAACCGCAGAGACCGTGCGAAGTCGATGATGGCGCCCAACCAGCCATTGACCACATGGTACGTCAGCAGGGCCGGGATAGTCCCGTCCAGTGGTGAGTCATCCTGTGGGTTGGTGGTGGCTTCACACGCAGCCGCGTGGGCGTCGTTGATCCACACAGTCGCTCGCTCGCGCAGGTATGTGTCCACGACAGCGTCGTGCAGGTGCGACGGCCGGATGAAGTCATCGCTGGCCATGTGCGGCAGAAGCCCTTTGCGCAGCAGCCACGCCTGGCCCACGGGGGAAGGAGAAACGATGTATATATCGCTCAGTACATGTGTGTGTGTGTGTGTGTGTGTGTGGACGGAGGTAGGAGACGTAGTAGTTGTCGAGTGGGGTCGGTGTTGGTTAGGTAAGGTAACGGGTACGGGGGGTCGGGTCGGTACCGGTTACGGG